TCCAAAGTTTGATCAAGTTAATTGAGGTTACTGGTTATGAAAAGTCTAGAGAGCCAGTACAGCATAGAGCTGGTGATTCAGGCTTTAAGAATCATACAATTTTAGGTCACATGAAAGATTAAATTATTTCTTATTATAGTACAATTATTAATAGTTAAATAATATACAAACTATTTTAACTCCATCAATAGGTGATGGATTAAAAATTATAGATTTCCCATTGTAATACTATTTTTCTGTGAATAAATTAAGTTAAAGTGGAATAAACTCCAAGATAAAATTTTATTTGAAATAAAGCAATTTCAAATAAAGGCCATAAAATAAACATTACAAAAATTATAAAATATAATTATATATTTTCATAGAATTAACATTACACATATATACATATAAAATATGTAAATAGTAAATTCCTAGAAAAATACACAAGAAATTAATTATAATTTTTTCCTTGGTGCAGAAAAGTGGGGAAGCACAGAGGTGAATCCTGAGAAAGAAATATTTTGCTTATATATTATTTTGTACTTAATTTTATCATGTACATTTATTAAAATTTTAATAAAAAATACTTGGAATAATACTCTAGATTTATCTCATCCCTCCACTATTAATTCCTAGTCTTATGATCTAGAGAAAGATACTAAAATTACTCAATGTCCCAATACCTGTCGTGAAGAGGAAATAAATTTAAGTACGGAAAACCTGATAAACCTAGATGAATGTCATGTTAGGCAGGTTTCATCAAGATACTACCTGATCTGAGACTTGAAAGTTTCCATTAGGTGAGGAAGGAACATTCCAGTTGACTATAGGATGAGGCAACATCATTATCATTCCACAATACTATTTCTACAATCATTGATTTAGAATCTTTATACTAATTCTTTTGCTTTGAGTATTTTTCCTTTTTATTTTTACTTGGTTAACTCCTGCACAATTTTCTTATATCACTCTAAATATTCCTTCCTCAGTGAGGTCTTCTCTGAATCATGCTTATAAATTAGGACTCCCTCCTTTTATTCTTTCTCCAGAGCAATATACCTTTTCCTTCATAGCAATGATATCAATGTGTAATTATAATTATTTGTGCAGTTCTTTCTTTAATACTTTTCCTCTCCACTGGACTGTAATGTCCCTGAGGCAAGGACTCTGTTTTGCTCATCCTCGTAAATTCAGTACTTATTCGTGAGTGTAAGGCAGGAATGGGAAGTGCTCAGAAGCAATGAGAACACCTAGAAGACTCATGATAATAATTTAGAAATGAGGGCCTGGCTAGTGGCATATAATGGTGTATAATGGCATTGGCAATGAAAAGGTGCATTGAGTCAAGGTTTGAGCAAGAAGACTTTTGCCAAGGAAGAATGAGCAGGATTAGGAGACTGGATGAACTCTTCTGTTATAGCCTTTATTTGAAGGGCAGAATTACAACGTGGTGCAGAACTCTGCATGGCACCTTTTCATTCTGTAAATGTTTGTGTGTTTGTCTGTCTCAAAACTAGGGGCTCTGAGAGGGCAGCACCTGGTTTACTGTTACACCAAGATTCAGTCTGTAAATACCCACTGATTAGATGAAAGGAAATGTCAACAAATGATGAGGTCAAAAAGAGGGATAATTAAAAAGAAAAAGGTTTTTAAGATTTGGCAATTCTCTGGGAGGACGGTGCTAGATATATGCTTTGACACGCAAGCAGAGATGTCTTGGATTTAGCTGGAAACCTGGAATTCACATTTCAGTGAGAGGTCAGAGCTAGGGAAACAATTTAGGATTTATACATTTAATCATTGATTTATTAACCAAATACCCATTGTATTCCAGGCATTGGACTAGGCCTCAGTAATACAAGCATGAATGATGAACTGTCCCTACTGTGTCCCCTATGCATGTGAAAAATACAATTGTGATATCTTTAATGTTTAACAGTGCTAACTTATTAGCTTAGTGCTAACTGAGCTTACCATGAAATTAAAAGACGCTTACTCCTTGGAAGGAAAGCTATAACCAACCTAGACAGCATATTAAAAAGCAGAGACATTATTTTGCCCACATAGGTCTGTCTAGTAAAGGCTATGGTTTTTCCAGTGGTCATGTATGGATGTGAGAGTTGGACTGTAAAGAAAGCTGAGCACCAAAGAATTGATGCTTTTGAACTGTGGTGTTGGAGAAGACTCTTCAGGGTCCCTTGGACTGCAAGGAGATCCAACCAGTCCTTCCTAAAGGAAATCAGTCCTGGGTGTTCTTTGGAAGGACTGACGTTGAAGCTGAAACTCCAATACTTTGGCCACCTGATGCAAACAGCTGACTCATTTGAAAAGACCCTGATGCTGGGAAAGATTGAGGGCAGGCGGAGAAAGGGACGACAGAGGATGAGATGGTTAGATGGCATCACCAACTCGATGGACATGGGTTTGGGTAGACTCCGGGAGTTGGTGATGGACAGGGAGGCCTGGCGTGCTGTGGTTCATGGGGTTGCAAAGAGTTGGACACGACTGAGTGACTGAACTGAACTGAACTGAGCTTAACACATGCTAGATGCCATGTGTGTTCAAAGGATAGTGAACTTGGATTTGCTTAGAGGAATCTGAGAGAGATTGATAGAAAACACTGGAGTTTACTCTTAAATGATATGTAGACGCTAACTTGGTATGAGAAGTATAGTATGGTGTCTTTTAATATCATTTTGGACTAGTTTATTTTAGTGTTGCTCAATTGTTTTATGTTCTTACTGATTTTCTTTCTACTTGTCCTACTCATTAATGAGAAATGATATAGAAATCACCCACTGCATATGGATTTATCTATTTTTCATTTCACCTTTACCATTTTTTTTCTATATTTTGAAGCACTAATCAGGTGATTACACATTTAGGCTGATTATAGTTACTTGATGAATTGTCCTCTTTGCCATTAAAAGTTATGCCTGTTTATTACTGGAAATACTAATGAACACAATGCTTGAATCACAGGAATAGATCAATAATTACAGGAAAAATAAACAAACAAAATTTCAGGGACTTTGACCCACTATTCTACTGTTGGAATTTTATCTCAATATGGTGGCTGAAGAAGACTTTTAAAAAAACTTAAAATATTAAAATGTTCACTACATTACTGTTTATACTGGAGTACAAGAAGCAATGAATTATGGAGTATATAAAGCAGATAATGCTTTATAGCCCTTAAATATTATTGTTACAAATAATAGTCACAGTGTAAAAGTAAATGTTTATGATTGGTATTAGGAGCTTTACATTCATTACCCAGCTTAATCCTTACACCAACTCTATGTGGAAGTTAACCACAATTACCCATTTTTAGATAAGAAAACTGCTTTATCTACCCTAATAACTTGTTGGGTGCCTAATCTGTTAACCTCAGTTATGACATAAAGTGACAAAAATAATTATAAAAATGTGCATGCAGTATGTCTATAATTGTCAGAGATTATTAGAAGTAAGTTCATTAAGGTATTCAGATGAGGTAATTGCTAAGAACCAAAACCTGTATATGAATCTGCAATATGCTTTGGCTGTCATAAACACATTATGAACATCTAGTCTTAAAAAACCTATAGGATAGTGATGATTATTATTTGCATAATTTTACAGATGAGTAAAAAGGCATGAAGAGTTATTGACTTTCCTCTGTTCACCCAACTAATAAATGGCAGAGTGGAATATGAACACAGGCAAGGCTACTTTATGCTGTATAATATTTCATTATTTCAGGAGTTCATAGTTTTTCTTTCATAATTTCAAATGTTGATGAAATGGTAAACTTCTGAATGCAGTAATTGTGTTTTATGGTCTTTTGTACTTTCACAGAAACATACACAAAGTTGAAAATTAACAGACACTAAAGTAAGCAAAGCATAACAGAGTTGTCAATAAGACATATAGGAACAGCTAGGATCCACTGCAAGCCTTGAAAGCAACACGATGCCTGAAATTAAGTTTGTGAAAATTTGGAATTACTTCAACAAAGCTTAAAAACCTCAATATAGAACAAGAGTGAAAATTGGAAACTCTGACCATTCTATCTCAGAAAAATAGCCTGAAAGGAGGTGACTAAGGATATTGGAGTTATGAAAGGATAGTCATGGGGATTAGTGACCCACTTTTCTCTACCATGCTAAATACTAACAAATTTAAAGCCAAAACTGCCTCAGGTATGTGAAATGAAATGAATAAATGGGACAAATAATGCATGGGGGATTTATGGCCTTTATTTCTACTGATGGTGTCAGTCTTGCAGAACACAAAGTAAAGTATCAAGAAGACTCTTATGTCCCCAAGTTCACATTATAAGAAATTTCACACTGTCCCCAGTGTATGTCACATTGGTGTATATTAGCACAGTAAATACTTAGAATATATTGGTCGTAGAAGTTTCAAAATAGCATTTGTACCAGTAAGATAAAAGTTAAGTCCATATTGGGCAAACAGAGGAAAATGGCACACAATAATGATGGGTGCAATATACCTCTGTGCTCCTTCTCTCCACTGGTCTTTTCAACAGCCATTTCAGCAGCTGGGTTTAATCCCCAAAAGATGAAAACAGAGGCAGAGAGGAAACCCAAATATGGAACTGATTGTTCCTCACTTAACAAACTTCAGTTCCACCTCAAAATGTCTACAGAAAGCAGTTTCTGACACCTAAAGCCTTGTGGAAGGTCCGACCAAGGGCATTCTTCACCTCATTATTTCTCAGGCTGTAGATGATGGGGTTCAACATGGGAGTTACAACTGTGTAGCACAGTGATAGCACTTTTTTGCTCTCAGGAGAATTATTGGACTTAGGCCGAAAGTAGGTGAGGCTTAAAGATACATAGAAGAGGGAGACAACAAGAAGGTGGGATGAGCAGGTAGAGAAGGCTTTATGCTTCCCCTTTGCTGATGGAATCTTCAGGATGGCAGCAGCGATGCGAGTGTAGGAACATAGGATCAGCAAACAGGGTATCATGACAACCAGAATGGTTCCAATGATGGCATAGATCTCAAACAGTGCTGTGTCTGCACAGACCAGCCTCAGCACAGGTGGGCTGTCACAGAAGAAGTGGTTCACCTTGTTGATGCCACAGAATGGAAAGCTGAAGAGCCACATGGTCTGCACAGTAGCCATGGGAATGCCTGGAAACCAGGAGACAGCTGCCAGTTTGGCACGTGTCCTTGGATTCATGATGACTGGGTAGTGCAAGGGACTGCAGATGGCTACATAGCGGTCATAGGCCATGGTGGCCAGGAGGAAGCATTCGGAAACCCCAAAGAAGAAGAAGAAATACATCTGAGTGGCACAGCCAAGAAAGGAGATGGTTGTGTCCTGGGCAATCAGGGTCCCCAGCATCTTGGGGACAATGACCAGGTTGAAGCCAATCTCTAAGAAGGACAAGTTCCTGAGGAAGAAGTACATGGGGCTGTGCAGCATGGGGTCAGCCCAGGTAACCAGAATGATGAGGCTGTTTCCCAGCAGAGTGACCAGGTAGATGAACAGAAATGTCAGGAAGAGTAATGACTGTATTTCAGTAGGTAAGGAAGAGAAACTCATGAGGATAAACTCACTTACTCTTGTCCAGTTTCCTTCAGCCATTGATAAAACACCCTAGCTGTGGTCATGGAGAGAGATTCTTTATTGGAAGAGTCAGATTCTGGATTTGTTTTCAGACTCTTTCTTAACGTCTCAAAGAAGCACAGTCAGGATCTCAGTTGTAACAAAAAGTGCCTTGTGTTACCTAAGGATCAACACAAGGAGAAAAGAATGGAGTCTGAGTTCTGAAATGGGCAATGTCTCATCCTTCCCCACTCTATTCTTTATGATCCATTTTCTACTTTGTTACCATATTTACTAAAACAACTTGGGTCATATCTAAATACATTCATTTTCTGCTGCACATTTAATACCTTTATAGTGGGATTAAGTGAGACAGGTCCTGAGGCAATGGAGTGGAGTCAGATGGAAAAACAGTAGAAATTTTCCATTTGTGCCTATTATCTATCCCCACTTCTTTAAAGATTCATGGTGTTTATATTCTCCATCTACTGCCAAAGTAGAATTTACCTTTATGTATGCATTTAAGGACTGCAAACAATGAGAGTATTTGAGAGGGTATAGATTAGAAAAAGTCCATTGTTTTATCATGTTTTGTTTTGACGTGACTCAAAGTAGTAGAAAATGTGGCAATGAGATGCAAAGGATGGATATCCACAGACTGTGGTAGTTTTAATGCACTTTCTCTCCCCTTTCAATATAAGAACTGTAGAGTACTTCTAGTCATATAGTGCTTATTCCTTCTTGCCTAATCAGATTATGAGGTAACAACCTTAGGATCTTTCTCCTCATTCCAGCAAAGCTATAATTGACAACTGATTGTCAGAATTCAGAATATCCACTGGCTTTCAACATTTAAGATATGAGAGGAGTATTGTAGTACACCTAAGTAGATAAACAGTGTGTTCCAGGAGAATCCAACTATGTCTCTTTCAAGAGTGGACAAATTGGAAAAAAGAAGCAGATCCTCAGAAAAATTCTGTGAAAAATATGAGGAAGATTAGAGGGAATGTTCAAAAAATAATATTCATAAATAATTAACCTGGACTATATTAAATAAGAGAATCTTAAACCATATGAAAAAATTCAATATCTATTCCACTTGTATTGAGGTACTGGTGATGTGAAGCTTTCTTCCTCCATGAAGCTTAGAATCTAATGGAGGATATATTTAAATAATCAATTATATTAAAATCACAGTGAAGGTCTTGACACAGTAAATATACAGTATCTTGGTGGGGGTAATGTATAAGGAGAAGGGATACCTAGTAAAGTCTTTGATGGTTTTCTAAGAAATAAGGATGAAAACGAAGTTGGTTGAAGGTATGCAGAACACCTAGGGTGCACTTTATTGTGACAATATTATAAAAATAAAGAATTAGGAAAAAGTAAAAATCACTGAGCTAACTTTTTTAACTGAAAGCATTCCTTAATACACACAGACACAGGTGTGTATTAAGACACACAAATGGAAATATACCAATATGCCTTGATCTTTGTCATTTATTTTTAAGAAAAATCTTCGAATAGGGAAACTATCTTTTAAGCAATCAGACAGGTAATAAGTAAAAACAAAAAAGCAAGACCACATATCACAGTCAAAAGACCTTTCAGGCTCCTGTCAGTCCCTCCAGAACTTCCAGAAAAACCTTCTTCTTCCAATCATTCACTGACTGTCCTAGGAAGAGGAACCCACTCGTCTAGCCTTTCTGCACCCACAGAATTGATCTAAGGAAATAGTGTACTTGATGTGATCTATCTTGTTCCACTGAAGCAAGTCTTCCCTGAGTTAATCAGAGGACAGTCAAGACTTGAGGAGATATATGTTCTGTCAAAGATACAGTGAGTGGAAGTTTTCTGACCCAGAACGATTTACAGGACAGAATTGGAGAAAAGAAAAACAAAACCCTGGGTGATCTCAATTTGCTTGTTGTCTTAGATGTCACTTATGACAAAGAAAGGGGAAACTGTGGCTCAGGAAGGGGGAAAACTGATAAGATTGTTCCAGTGTGGACAGAGCAATGGAATTAGGTGTTCCACCAAACCTTGCCTAGCTGAGCACCTGAACCTTGAGATGGGCCTGGATTGATTTGGCCCTTGATGAGATCCTTACCTGTGCCCTGTAGGGAGATCTGCCTTGTTCATCTCTACCTGATACCTATGCTTCATGCAGGGCCCCGAGTGTTTGACAAACTCTGACTCTGCTGTCAGAAGAACCAGAAAAAATACCAGGGAGTCTTACTCACTTTCCTGGATGAGTCATTAATGATTGGACCTGAAGCCAGATCACTGCAGCCTTCTCTGTGTCAGGTGTGAGTGAGAAGACTAGATGAGTTGGCCCTGCACCCAGTCATGACAGGAGATCTGTTCCCAGCTGTGCCTCTTTGGTCCTCAGGGCCACATAAAGGGCTGGCACCTGTATTTTCCCCCAGGTGTTTCTGGGCTCAACTTTGCTCCTCTTCTTGCCCTTCCTCAAGAGTACCTGAGCTTTCTTGACTTCACTGTCCTTTGGGACCCTAAGGAATGTCAGATGCCAATGGGATGAAGTTCAAGAAAGGAAAACCATACTCAAGGAGTATGGTATTGTGTAGAGAAAAGCACAAACATTTTGGATTCTGAGGGACCTTAGTTTAATTCCCTGATGGCTCAGACGACAAAGCATCTGCCCGCAATGCGGGAGACCCAGGTTCGATCCCTGAGTCGGGAAGATCCCCTGGAGAAGGAAATGGCAACCCACTCCAGTACTCTTGCCTAGAAAACTCCATGGATGGAGGAGCCTGGTGGGCTATAGTCCATGGGGTCACAAAGAGTGGGACACGACTGAGGGACTTCACTTCACTTAAGTTTAATCCCAGCACTGGAGACAGAGACATAAAGAACAAACTTTTGGACTCAGTGGGAGAGGAGAGGGTAGGATGATTTGAGAGCCTCTCTCTGTCTCCTTTGCTGCCCTGCATGTGTATGCCTATAGCTGATTCATATTTAATGTATGGCAGAAACCATCACGATATTGTAATTATCCTCTGATTAAAGTAAATGAAAAAAAAAATCCCAGCACTGGAACTCTCTGGTTGCTGATGCCTAGCAATTTTATTAAACTCTTTGAGTTTCCATTTCCATATTGCTTAGACAAATATGCTTATTTTACAGGATTGGTATGAGCAGGATGGGATATATTAACAAGGATGTTAGTATATTCTATTATAGCATATATGGGGCTTCCCTGGTGGCTCAGATGGTAAAGAATCTGCCTGCAATGCAGGGGACCTGGGTTCAACCCATGGCTTGGGAAGATCAGGCAAAGACAGGAATGGCTACACACTCCAGTATCCTTGCTTGGAGAATTCCAAAGACAGAGGAGCCTGGCGAGTTACAGTCCATGGGTTCACAAAGAGTCAGACACAACTGAGAGACTAACATACACACACAGAATATATATTACTGTATCATGGATATCATAATAACCTTCCCAATCATCAGTAATTGTTCATTAATAAACACTGAATGGTTACTATATGCCAGGCATTGTTATAGACCCTCAAAGAGAGAAATAAACAAAACAAAGTCCCTGTGCTCGTAAAGCTTACATTTGATTGAGGGAAGCTAGGCATTGAACAAATAAACAATTAAGCTTTTAAGACTAAGTAGTTGCTATGCACAAACTTCACTGGTTCCTGGCTTTGGCTGTGAAGCCTCTTAATATCTATTTTTTATAGATTAATCAGGCAATAACACCTCACTGGAAAAGATAGTGGGTCCTTATGTGACTTTTAAAATTTGGCCATAGAGATCTGTAACCTATAATATTCAACCATCCTGTCCATGTTTGTGTTGAACACTGGGGCTTGTGAAAAGAGCTTATGAATGCGTGGAATGAATGAATCTGAACTCCTAGCAAAGGGATTGAACAATAATACTGGAAAAGAAAAATTGAAGAAGAAAGGAAATGGAGGCCAGATGGAGCCTTTAGAAGCAAATCTGGAAAGAGAAAAAGGGGGCAGAGGAAAGCTAAATTATCTTTGAGGCCAAGCTGTGTGTCATGGTACCTGAACTAGTCTTCCTGCAGGAAGAAGGTAGACTGCAGTGATTTCTTTGAACTATTGCCACACTGTTGCCTTCTGTTACAACCATAGAGAAGATTACCTGTATAATGAAATTCGTATTGCTCTGCATTCTTTTTAAACTGCATTTATATAATTATTGTGGCTTCCAAGGTGGCTCAGTGGTAAAGAATCCACCTGTCAAGCAGGAGACAAAGGTTTGACCTCTGATCCGGGAAGGTCCCATGGAAAAGGAAACGGCAATCCACTTTAGTATTCTTCCCTGGGAAATTCCATGAGCAGAGGAGCCTGGTGGGCTACAGTCCATGGGGTTGCAAAGAATTAGACACCACTTATCGACTAAATAACATACACAAAATCCAGGATGGAAGAAAAAGAAAACTGCTGAAAAGACTCAAACAGGCTTCCGCTCTTATAGGATCTTTTTAATTTTTTTTGCTAATAGTAGGCAGGTCATTGTTATAAGCCCTTGCCCAGAGGTTGATCAAGTGAATTGAGGCTACTGGATTTTGAAAAGCCTAGAGAGCAGTACGGGAAAAGGAAATGGCAACCCATTCCAGTATTCCTGCCTAGAGAATCCTGTGGACAGAGGAGCCTGGTGGGCTGCTGTCCCTGGGGTTGCACAGAGTTGGACACAACTGAAGCGACTTAGCAGCAGCAGCAGCAGAGAGCAGTACAAGATAGAGCTAGTGATTCAGGCTTTAAGAGTCACAGAATTTTAAACACAGGAAAATTTAAACTGTTTCTTATTATAGCACAATTTTTAATAGTAAGGTAATATAAAAATTATCTTAATTCTATCAATAGGCAATTGATTAGAAATTGTAGATTTCCATTGAATACTGTTAAAGCAAGTTTGTGTGCCTGACGCACAATGAGGCCAAACAAACTGAAACGTTGAAGTTTGGGGCAGAGAAAAGTTTATTGCAAGGCCATGCAAGGAGATGGGAGGTTTATGCCCTAAAAAGCCCTGAACTCCCT